CGAACCCTAGTCTGTAACAGTGCATGGGATTCTTCCGTCCTAAGTGCAGGACTCTGCACTTGTCCTTGTTGAACCTCATCAGTTTTCTTTTGGCCCAATCCTCTAATTTGTCTAATTTTAAATAAGGCTCTCTATTAACTCCTGGAAAGTTATATATTTCTGATCTCTGTTTTGTCCATTGGAGTTAATGGCAAAGTATAATCAGAGAGGTTAGCTTCTCTTTATCTTTGCCTCAAATTTCTAGTCAGTAAGGCATATGAAAGATCAGCTTTACTTTAATTCAGTTCACAAGTAGTTTTATTAATTTTCTATAATTGTGTAAGTATATTCTCCATTGTGACTCTGTGCTTGGCTTTAAGTGTTAGACCAACACTGGGTTGTAGGTAGTATAGAAACCAAATGAAACAATTTACACCTGAAAAACTATCAGCCTGAAAGGTGAAAGTCTGACAAGGTTATAAGTAACTGAAAGCGACTCTTTAGCACTGAAACAGGTAACCTTAAGTGCAGCTGCAGCATGTATAGATGCATTAAAGCAAAGGAGATATTACGTTATGCAGCACTAGCCTTAATTGCTGAAAAATGACAAGGACTTTATTTTCAAAATTCAAAAACAAACATACCTGTTCCATTGATGTTTCATGAAGTTCATTGAGATTCAGGGTGTAAATACCTTCCTCTGCACCAAATATCAAGTATTGATCTGTAAAGGGAGAGAGAAATTAAAATTAACAAATCTGGAGTTAAGGAAAGTGAAAATAATATGAACATGGAGCTGGTTTAGCAAAGCAGTGTTTCACTATCGTTAACAGAGGCACTCACATTCAATCTACTTTGTTTAAATTTCCTTAGATCAGGAAATAGTAGGAAGTAGCAGTAGCTTAAATTTAAAAAAACAAAACAAGAAGCAGAGGGATTCCTCTTATTTTAGTTCAAAATACTGGCCATAAGAATTACTGCTGGAAGAACCTATATGAACAATATAGTTTATTTAAGTTCTGCTATAAAGATGAAGAAGAAC